AGAGAGAGAGAGAGAGAGAGAGAAAAGAGGCCTAACTAAAAGAACAGGGACATGGGCAAATTGAATAAGAACATCATATATTTCTGTCACAGAGCCAGTGTGGGAGCTCAAATGATCATAACCTGGGCGTAAGTACTCTGCATTGTCTAACACCTAATGGTGCCCATATCCAGTGATATATAAAAAAGTATCGCTTACTGAACTGTATTTGTTAAAATGTATAAATGGAATGTCTCAGATTTGGCATGCTAACATATTAGACAGAAGCTGTGCTCAGCTTGCATTCTATGAAAAAGCTAGTTTTCAATGAGCAGATGAACAAAGCCACGTGATATTTACTATGTTTAGTTGCTGTGATGCTGATATTGTGCTGGCAGTGGTTTGGGGGTGGCACTATTTGTATATGGGCAAATATCTGGACATAATCCACGAAATTTAGATAATGCCTATTTTGTGTTACTAGTTTGAAGGAGAAGTGTGTATTTTCAGACCAGCTCCCCCCCCCAAAAACAAAATATAAGCTCAAGAAACACGTATGATATTTAGTCATGATTTAAGGAAAAGAATGATTCAATTATTCTAGAACTTCCTTTAAGAGAAAGGAAAAAAGAATTCTTGAGCCCTTTCCTCCAGCCCTAAAGCAGCAGACATTCTTGGATTTTTCAATAGTGAGAAGAGACTTTGCACAGGACAGTCTCATCTGCCCAGCGGCTGATAACACACATCAGTAGAATGTGCTCACTCCTAGTTTCATTATATATATTTCTATGTTTCCCTGCAGATATCAGGAAAACCTCACAGGCAATCGAGTCAGGATCCAGAGAACCAATTTCATTTGGGTGGTAATTCCTACACCTAAGATGTACTTTCTGGACCCTTGCACAAACCAACATACAAGTCTAATATTTAATCCATTGTCCTCAGTGGTATCCCACAGTAGATAAACCTCAGACTTCACTAAGCTCTTAGTGGGCCCTGCAGCCTTCACTTGCAGCTTGCTCTGGAGGAACTATATGCATCTAGCAATCACGCAAAGCCTTCTAACATGCCAGTAAACTAGTGCCAGTATGGGCTTGTGCTTACACAACAACAGAAATGGAAGGCAATAAATAATAATAATAATAATAATAATAATAGAACCTGAATGACCACATTCATCTGGGCCCCTCTTACTACAGGATATATGCTTAACTATCCAATATCTCATCCTAGGACATGGTCAGCCTTGAGGCTTAAGGTATCTGTCCTGTGAAAATGGTTTTAAAAGTGAGGGCAACTGGAAAAATTGCTCTTGAGGGAAAGTGTCCCTGAAATGCTCCTTCAGTGCACATGGGTGGTCAGGGTATTATAGTAATGTCTTCTGCATTTAGCCACACAGGTCAGACATTTGAATATCCAATTACTTAGGTTCTCCTGGAGCCCGTTTGAAATAAATGAGTGCTCTCCATCCATCCTACTTAGACAAAAGCCATCCTGACAGTTGGCACATTTTTGGCATTTGTCAGCAAAGTGGGAAGGAAATAAATGACCCATGTAGCTGAAACAGGCCTGTGATGAGGGCCACTGGACAGCAAGGGTAAAGTGGTCGCCATATCCTACAGTGTGAGAACGCTTGAATATCTGCCAACACGATTCGCACAAGAAAGTAAACTCAAGCCGATAAGAAGGCTCATTAGCTCGAATACAGACACAGTCCCCTCCCTAACTCTTCACAAGGTTCTAAGCACATAAACACCAGTGTATTGCTGGCCTATTAGTAAGACTATTCGTAATAGAAAGAACTGTCAGCATGTAGAAAAGATAAAGAGGTGACTCTGGGAAACAAAGATGATTCCACCCTCAATGATTTCATGATAAGGCAATGGAAAGAATGCTAAGGTTGGGGCCATTCTACTTTTCCACATTTCAATGTCACCTTTTAGTTTTCTCATGAAATATTTGCAGAACAGCTAAATGCAGGTATCTAAGAATGGAAGATTAAATATCTTACTGGAAGCATGTATTTTCATTCATATGAACACCATATGACTAACAGTCATGTAGAAAGTCAAGATCATACTGAAGTTTTCAAATACATTTGTTTACACAATGATGAACTATTTAAAGGACACGTGACAAGGGTCCAGCCAGCCAGGAAACAGAAAAACATAAGTCCCTGTGAAGTTCTAAGGAAAATTATACTTCCTGTAAACGTTTTGTTAATGTCTTCTGGAAAGAAATAAAGATTAAGACAAGCAAATGACATACATTAATATTTCCTTTGCAGAAACTCAAAGAGCTTACATGATTAAAAAAAAGGTTTTAAATTTATTTTATTTTACCTTTGTAATACACGCTCTACCTGCTAGAAGAATCAATTGGTTGTTCGAAGTTTAGAGGAATATCACAGATGAATCTGAGATTTGCTCAGATATAGATGTGTAAAAACTGAATCTAGCTCCCAGCCTGGTTATATTACAAACACACACATATAGATTCACATATACCCAGATGTTCCATAGCATGAGAACACCTTCTATAAACATGGATGAACACTCTATTAAAGTTTCACATCTGAATTTTAATAACTGTCTACATTTTATTTTACCAGATATTATAGCTGCCTGGTAGATTTTATTCTCCCTTTTATCTCTGCAAATGTTTTAAATACATTTTAAAGTTTAAAATACATTTTATGTCATGCATTATGAGCCTGAAGACTTAGGATTTATTCCCTCATTGTCTGAGCTTCATCATGGATTGAAATTGGCCGCAATTATTTAGAATTTTAGGTATTGAATACATATGGTTGTGAAAGAATGCATTTATGGGTTAATCTGCAATGAGCATATTTTCTGAAGTATAGGGACTTTCATTATCCCTTATTCTTTGTTTGGGACTCTATTTTCCATTCAACTTTTGGGCCATACTCCTGGGCTCTGAGAACACCAGCAAAGGAATGTGGCAGAAGCCTCACTTTTGCAAGGAGCTGATATGTCTTCTTATTAGATCTGACTTTGCACATGCATGCATCTCGCCGGAGCCTAGAAACTCTAGTGCTGAACTCCAAAATCCTTGTAATTTTCCTCCCGGCATCTATCTATTCTCTGGGTGTCTCCATCTTTACAACACTTGGAAACTTCTCTTACTCAGTTAATTTCTTCTTAAATTTTGTCAAATTGAATTTAGAAAAATTGTCTATTCTAAGTTTTGCAAACAATTCTGAAGCATAAAACAAGAAAACAATATAATAGAGAAGGAGATAAAGATGCACAAAACATTACCATAATAATGTTTTTTGTTTTGTCTTTGTTTTTGTTTTTCGAGACAGGGTTTCTCTGTGTAGCCCTGGCTGTCCTGGAACTCATTTTGTAGACCAGGCTGGCCTCGAACTCAGGAATCCACCTGCTTCTGCCTCCCAATTGTTGGGATTAAAGGCATGTGCCACCACTGCCCAGCTCATAATAATGTTTCTACTAGCTTCCCAGTTAGGATATGCTTATATCTCTACTGAAGAATCAGGACTACAAATATAGCAAGGGGCCACATTTTATACAACAGCACTGTCATGGTAAAGGTACTCTACAAAATAAGCAGACCATGCAATGCTTAAACAGGCTGCATAAGCCACATAGAAAAAGAGAAAGGTATCTGCCATATGATCTTATTCATCAATGGGTATCAGTTCAAAAAAAATCAACTGAAATAAATTATTTTTTGCATAAAATGTGTATTTTCTTTTCTTAATCAATCATTTTAAGGAAGGAATCTCACCTTTTCTTTCTTTCTTTTTTTCAATCAATCATTTTAGGGAAGTTAGCTTACATTTGCATAGGATAGCTTTTTTAATTTTGTAACCATCAGTGTCACATTGGTTAGTGTGTACCAGAAAACAGCAGCAGTAGGAATCACAACCAAGACTAGACACAAATGATGCTAGCAATGGAGTGATCCATACATTTTCCTGTTTAGATATCCTTGCCAAAAGGCATCTGGCATTTAAAACAAAAATTTCTTTTCACTGTTATTTTCTTTTCTTGATTGACGTTCCTAAAAGAACCAAGAAGATACCCGCTGTCTGACGAACATTTGGCACATTCCAACATTTTACTGAAGCTCTTTCCTCATCTGATCATACCAAAACACTGTTCTCTGAAAGAGAACTTGACAGACAGAACTGCTGTCATAATACATCAACAACCAGGAACTTGAGCACTTACCACGTAAAACTGTGAGTCTTGTGGACACACTTATTTCTCCCACATTATTTGAGGCCACACATTCATAAATGGCCTCATCCCGTGGAGTCCTTAAGGGCTGTATTCTGAGAACTGATCCAGATCCATCGTCAAATTCTATTACCTATTAGAGGAAACAATAGCTGTCACAGGTGTTGTTACAATCATCTACCTCTCAGCTAAACTTCTCAGTGCAGTAGTGAGCCAGCCATTAGGTTCTGACTAGACTAGGCATCATTCTGATAGAGCACTGAATTCTAATAATGTGGGACAGCAGAACACTGGATCGAATGTATATACCTTGAACCAAATGAAAGACACAAAACAACCAGTTCACAAATATAGATTCCTAGTCCCTACCAAAACCCACCATGATTCACTCGTTAGCATATCTCAAGCTAAGTAATTACACAGACACACCATAGCTGTGATGGATAAACTTCAGTGACTTACTTTGGCAACACACGTGCTTACGTGGACCCGTTTAAAACATAATGCTTGTCACCACAAATATTTCTGTCCGTTTAAAGGGTCTTGTTCTTAACAATATATATGGTCAAACCACAAAGAGAAACTGCATAAATCTAGTACTTAGGCAGCCAACAAGTGAGCCAACTCAAAGCTTGGCAGTCTGCATTAATTTTGTCATAAATCATTCCAGTATTTGTTCCAGCTTAACATTTTCTGCCTTTTTATGGCCTTCTTCCCATGAAATGGAGGCTTGCCTCACCAGACCAAACATCAGTGTGCTAAGCACAAACCCTGAATTCACTGTCATTGTGAGCTCCACTGTGAAAGAGAAGAGCAACACTGGTTCTAAGAGCAGCTAAATGAACCAGCACAAAGTCTACAAACCACGATGGTGGTGGTATGTATGTACAGTAGTCAGGAGCAGCACCATTCCACTACATGATGTCTTCCAGCAGCTGCTGACTGGGACATTGTGCTTCTGGAGTGTTTCCATGTGCCTTGACTGCAAATAAACTGAGACTTTCTGTCAAATCTATGAGGAGCTTAATTCTTGTTTCTGTGTGCATGTATTACCATACAGAGAAAGGAGATTAAATATTTTAATTGTATTCACTTTAGCTTCTTTATGGATTCCACTTTAATTGTGAATTCAGAAATACTCAGAATACTCGATTTCTCAAAACCCCACTATATATTTTCACCTCGATTAAGCACACATTTGAAAGGAATCTATTATGTATCTAAGAGACACAAGTTCCAGTTAGTAGACTCCTTCTTCAATACTCCACAATTTTATTAAAAAAAAAAACAAACTTGGAGTATACCACAGTTTAATATATAAAAATGTCTGCAGATCATTAATATAAATTTAAATTTAAATTAATTTACATTAAAGATCATTGTATATTCATAAACTTTAAAATTTTGTATAATGAAACATTATATAAATTGTATATGAAACATTTATGTTGTCATGCATTAAAAGCCAGTGTTCTAATTCCCACGTTGAAGGCAGTCAGTGCATGCTTTCTATGTGCCAAACACTATATGTGTCATTGACAGAAGCAGCAGGACAACCAGTGTCATCTATTTCTCATACAGGAGGACAAGGTATACTAGTGGTATGTGTGTGTGTGTGTGTGTGTGTGTGTGTGTGTACTATAAATTTGGGTAAGTATTTCAGCCTAAGACATGGTATCACTTCACATAGTTGCTTTATATAAAACAATCTTTTCTGAATTTGTTTATATGATTCTCATTAGCAAGTATGAACAAAGAAGATCTCTTGTTTTGAACTATACGGCCCAATCATTTATCTTTATAAGATTTATTTAGAAGGTCAATGTCAACAGCAAGCATATCAAAGAGCATTCCTCTTGGGGGAAAAAAAACTTTTAACCTAAAAGGAAAAAAGGTCATATACCTCAAATTCTCACAAACAACATGTCAGTTTGTGTATTGTGTAGAAATTACCTTGAAGAAAGGTTTAAACTACCTTATCTTAAATTCAAACATGTAAAAATAAAATTTATCTCTAAATTTTTCAAACTATAGGTTATGACTTCAAATTCAGATTTTAAGTTTCACCGCTATTTCTAATCAGAATTTTTATAAACATGAATCTGCTCTGAACACTCTGAACAATGATGATACAGTAGTCTGAGTTTTAGTTCTGATATTACTGTTCACCTGAGATTGTAATCAATTTTCCAAACTGTGAACTAAGCCCTGAAATCTATTAGAAAACCACACAAAGCAGAAGAGAGTTTTTATAATTTGGGATAGCTCAGGATTCTTGGTGTCCCCTAAAAATCATAGTACAGTCTGGGCACCTTCATTTATGAGTGTGATGTGCTCCAGAATGAACAGATTTCTAAATCACACACTTCCTCCCAATACTGAAATGACTTAGCATCATTGTGTACCTTTTCCTGAAGGAAGACAAAACGTCTCCACTAGATTCCCTGAATAATTACTCTGTCTGGCTTGTTTCTTGTACATGGTACTTTACATTAAAACACAGAAGGGAATTTATTATTATAGTCTACAGGGTTAGTTAAGTTGACACTTGACATTTTTAGTCCACTCTCCTCTCTTGACTTGGTAACAGAGACTGAAATCTGCTTCCAAGAAAATAATCCTGAATTTAAACTATAGGATTGAATACGACTAATCCCATTTCAACAATAAAATTTAAAATCTGTTTGGCATAAACAAGTTGACACTGTTCACCCATCCACATATTGTGTTCAGATGTAATCATGCTACTCAGTAGTACTGAGGAAGATAGAAATTTCTAGAAAGACATACATTTTCATGTGTCCTTTAGATTTGGGAAAATGAGGAAATGAGATTCTACCTAGCAATCTTAAGAAGCAGTCTGAAGATGTGTCTAGCAGACATATCTGAGACCCAATTATACATACCCATTACTTGCAATAGAAACCAGAATCTCAGATATGCACTCAAAAAATCCTCAGACTCTAGTTAAATCCTTACACAAGTGGATACAAAACTCAGCCACTGCAATGACCACATTCTCTATTCTCGAAATACATTGAGTTACGAGGCTCATTGCAGGTGACATCACTGTCACAACTCAGTACTTGTGACACCTCAAAGCAGAGCAGAGAGAATAGATGCATTCTTCCCCAGAGAAACAGAACAATGGACCTAATACCTCAAATCTCTGGTTGCTGACTTTCTTTCCTTTTTTGTTCCAGACAATTTTAGGTCTTGGGTCTCCTGTAGCTTGACAAATGAACGATGCAACTCCTCCAGAGACCCCTGTCTGATCAACCGGAGTTCGTGTAAATCTGGGAGGTGCTGAAATAGGAAGAAATAAACACCCCAGTTAGCAGCAATATTGAAATAGATTATGACCCGACTTCACTGCTCCCTCACAGTACACAGCCTCATCCACAGAATCAACGTTGGAAGGTGAAAAAACCCAAGGCAACCACCTTCTGCTTTTGAGGGTAACTTTGTGGTCAAGGTCTGTTATCTCTTAGTGCTTTCATTGCTGAAACCTGAATTAAGGCAGAGATCCAATAACATCCAAAAAGCAACATCACACATTAATTTTTATTACCAGTATTTAAAAATCCAATTTGTCCATGGTAACGAAAAGCTCATCAATCAAAGTAAGTGAAATTCTAGCACTTTGCTTTGATGTCACTATCAGGATGTTGCCAGAAAGCAGCACTGCCATGGCTAGGCTATTAAAATTAGTGACATTTAAGGGACGTTCTAGGAAATCTTAAAGAGACAAGAAATATAGCCTGGAATTAGAAGGCACAGCAGGAAACAGGAAGGGGGAAATGCCACAGGGGCATTCACACATTGTCTTGTAATGTAGATTCTCATTTTGTTAAAAGGAACTCTGAGAAGCTTCCCAAGTCACAGAGAGATTTATTAGGAGGCACCAACTTATGGTTACTAAAGAAGAAAGAGTAGAAAATGAAGTTTTCCAGTGTCTCCATCTCAGTTGACTATTAGAGTAGTCATATTTCTTTCCTCTCTGAAAACACTTCTTTCCTATCTTATATTTTCAAATCTAAAAATCAGTCACTGGGTGATGACATAAGATGTAACTGAATATGATGAGTATTTACACACAAAAGTATTTATTATATAACCTGATTAGCAGAAGAATATACACAGACTACATAAAAGTAGCAGTAATATTAATAATAAAGTACATTTATTTCAAAATGAAATATAAATAGGAACTAGTACATATAAGAAGGAACTATTTTATCTCATGATATGAGAGACATTTATGAGTCAACGAAAAAGTATGAATGTGTAATGTAGAATTCTGAGGGACATCTGATAAGAAAACACTTAAATTATGCACAGTATGTGAAAACATTAATGACAATGGCTTGTAAAGTGGTATTTTAATTGTTTTTTAAACAGTTCTATTTTCATCTGTGGATACATAATGTCTGTTTGTATGTATACACATGTACAGTGATCTGTAGAGGCTGGAACAGCGCATCAGGTCCCCTCAAGCTGGTTACAGGTTGTGGGCTACTAGGCATAAACTGCTCATGCAGCAAGGGCTTTTGATTGGTGAGTCATCTTGCCTTTAGCCATATTTGAGATTTGTAATTGTTATATTTGAAAAATGTATTAATGTCAAAAACTTTATCTTTCCGTTTTCCTTTCTTTTCTTTTAATGAATGTACAAATTTTATCACCTAATGTTCTTTAGTGGTACCACTGACAACAGCTATATCTAGTTCTAGATAATATTTAATTTCAACATAATCTTCAAACTCTAGGTCAAAAAATAGCAACATTATATCCTTTTTGTTTATTGCTGTCATGAAACTTTGCCCTCCATCATGCTTCCATCTAATGTCTTGCAATACCCGTAACATGTTCTAAGTCAGATTGATTTCTTTGCAGATTGAAGATCAGATAATCTCAAACCTACTGTTATTTGAAAAATGATGATGACAGACAGATAGGCAGGTAGGTAGGCAGGTAGACAGGTAGAAAATAGGTAAGTAGATAGATAAATGATAGATAGATAGATAGATAGATAGATAGATAGATAGATAGATAGATAGACATACAGATAGACAGAAAGACAGAGTCAAAAGCTCAGAGACAGAGGAGAAATTCATAGAGCCTTACTTTTTCTTCACTGTCAAGACATGAGATACAAATTATTTTGCAAATATTATTCCACTTTTCCAGGTTCCTATCTAATTATATGATTACACAAGTGGGGGATTTCAGAAGAAATGAAAGAGAAGCATCTTTACAATCTCGTCATAGGAAGTGACTCCTTATTAGCAAATTCAGCTTTTGATAGAAACACAAGAGCCTGGGGCATGTTTATGTGAAGAAAAATTAGGAATACAAATGGGCTCTACCAGCCCTGTTCAATATCACATACTGTAGCATCCACGGATAGAAATATAAATGAGATAATTACAATGAGCAGTGAGAAATTCTTAAGAATATTTGAAATTGACTAACAGTGAGAAAGATTTAAAAAAACAAATGATAACACTTTTCAGAAAACAAACCTGACATTACAAGCTTTCTTATTTCTTTTTCTACCATTTCAAGTAAATTGATGAAAAATATGCCCTGTCAGTATCAAATAAAATATATTCATAAAAATACAACCAATTCCATCTATAAAACATAATAAGGAAAGAAAATTTCTAGTAACTGTCCCTGATTACCAAAGTCCCTAAACTGTCACAATAGCGTTAATTTTGAGTCTTTTGATCTCCCTCCTATATTCCAAAATTGATCAGTCTGAATCTGGTTAAATTGTCATTTAAATTGTTTTAAAAGTTTGTTTGCAAGAATATAGGAATGATATGAAGGGCCAATGGATGAGATGACTATGCACATAACCACTATATATTTAGTAACCCTAAAACAGTTGCCAGTTTTCCTTTACTAGGGAGCTTTGTAAGAGATACTGTTCTGTTTCTCTTCCCAAAGAATGAGGGAAAGTTACAGATTCTTAAAATCTGAAATGAATATTTGCCATGTGGTTGAAAGCTGCATTTGCCCAGATTTTCCAAACCATAAAAGGAATAAATGTCTTTGTTCTATGAAGGAAATTAATACATATTTTTGATAATTCTTTCAGTAGACATGCATGTTGTGTAACTAATTTTTCTGAATGGACCAATTCTAAGACTGGTGCTGCCAATTCTAGGCAGATAGCCACTGGAAGATATGTAACAGAGGACTAAATTCCATGATTCCTGCAATGCTAGGGGAAGGTGAATATTTTTATCTTGAGAAGGCATAAAAACATGAAACAGGCATTTCTCATCTATATTGGCAAAAGATGAAAAGAACTAAATAAACAGTTTATCATATTTTGGTGTGCATGCTTCCCAAATGTTAGTCATGCTCTAAAGAAGGAAAGAGAAGTATACAATTAAAAGTGTAATACAAAGCTTGACTAAAACCCCACAAACAAGGATATCACAAAGGATCACATCACAGACAAGAACAAAACACACAAGTGCATCAACAGGGCTGCATAATGAAAATTTACTCAATTAAATGCGACGATTGGTTTATAATTCTCCTGAAGATAAGAAGTAAAAGAAATGCAAGAGTATAAAGAGAAACAGTAATGAAGAAATGTTCAGTCACCACTATATTGAGCCCTGACCTTTCACCTTTCATTCCTAATTCAGCTAACTGGGTGTCATTGCTCACATATAGCTACCAAGGCCGTACTCTGAGTGATACATTTCTATTCAAGCTAATTTTGACAAGACAATATATATATATATATATATATATATATATATATATATATATATATAATTTAATGATAGACAACTACTGTTCAACACAGAAAGTCTAGTTTCCAAATGCAAGACATGGAGGCTACAAACACACATGAATAAGACGATAAGAGATGAAATATGTCTACCATAGTATCTAGCTATATTCACTGTACAATCTCATAATACATTCACAGTACACATAGAAGCTCAAAGAATACAGTAGACTGTCATTTACTATGGTAGCAGAAGAGGAGCCAGAGGCTCCTAATTTTTACATGATACAACTGAATGTAATGATTTCATAGTTTGATATTATATTGTGTTTTAAGTTGCTGGCTTTCTAAAGCCAAGATGCTGTGTCCAAAGTGCTCTTATGGTGATAAGTTTATAGGAGTGAACTAATTAAGACTAGCAAACTGTCTTGGCCATCCTTAATCACACGCACTACTGATGACAAGTTGTCTCTTTAGGACAATTTGTTAGGTAGAGCCAGACATTAGCAAGACAAAACCGTTGATGAATGATCAGTATCTATAGAAAAGCAGTATTGGGGAAATTCTTACAGTTTCAGATAACTCAGGTTTGATATAATTTGGTTGGTCAACTAAAACTCCTTTAAATTAGGATTACAGAAAGAATATAATATAAAGCAAACAGAGAAATGAGGTATCATTTGTCTAATTTAACTCTAATTAATATGACGTTTCTGTGGACATCAAGGAAACATGTCTCACAGGGAAAAACACTAAGCAGCATGTAACTAATTGGCTTCATTTCTTTCCTCTGATTATCATTTCCTTAAATAGAGAGTTTTGATTTTAAAGGGATATTAGTCATAACACTGTACTCAACATCTTGAAATGAGAAGGCTAATAATGCTAGGAGATACATAGGGAGAAAGAGAATATTCAGTAGGAAGATGAAAGCAATCTATGTTTAGGAACCTGCTTTCTCCCTTATGGCACACCTTCAAGTTGAGCTATCTCACACCTGTCCCTGAAATGTCAAGGCAAGGACTCTGAAAAATAGATCAGAAACAGGATACCTGCAACAACTTGGTTGGAAATAAAAGAACACAAGAGAGAGCTCAAGAATGTTCAAAGGCCAATACAGCTTTACCTTCTCTTATAGCCAGAGGATAGCCTAGAGCCACGGAAGGGAAGAGGAAGAGTGGCTAGAGCTTGTGTGCATACTATTATGATAAGCTTGATTTCCACTGGGCAGAGGTACAGGGAGGAGACAGTGACAAAACCTTTGGGCACATGATGAAAGACAGAGGTCCCAAGTGTATCTGAAGAAGACAAAGCCCACGGCACAGCTGTCATCTGCATGGTTTTGCCAATATGTGTCCTGTAAACTGTGGCTAGTGTAGAGGCACCTCATCTGTTACTTGGTTACATTAGATCTGAACAGGATCTTCCTACCAAATCTTGTCTCTTTAAAGTCTAACAGACTGTTTATGAACCGATTATCCCATTTCCATAATAATATAGTTACCTAAACAACCTCTTGTATTTAAATTTTGATTTACAGGACAGAACA